TCCGTTCAGAAATTATAAAATCGTAAGCGTTCCGCCAAATTATTTTGGAAATAAATTCTAAAAATACAGCAATAACAATGCAGAGAACACGAGTATGCTGAAAGGTAGTTTTAAGAGCAACAAAATATTCAGCAAAAATTGTACAAAAAAGATTTGTTATTTTAAAGAAAAATGTTGATAGTGGCAGACTTCTCAAACCACCCTTGTAAAGAGTGAAATATTTTCAAAGTGAAATCCGTTGCAGCAAAACAAAACGCAAGCGAAATCAAGCAAATGACAAAAAGTTTAGTCAGAAAAACTGGAAATAAAAGAAATTGGATGTCACGCGCGGTTGCACCTTCGGTGGCGCAGCTGAGGTGTAACATATTTTTTGAAAAAGCGAAAAGCAGTGCCCAAAGCAGCTGCAGCAAAGTGTTGGAAAGTGCAGAAGCAATGTGCAACGTGTGTGTGTATGTATGTATGTGTGTGTGTGTGGTATTGCACGAATGCACACATTAAAATCACATTTTGCCGGCGGTGGCAAAAATACGCTGATACAGTGTTGCCACAACGAAAGAATTTTTTTTTTGTAAAAAAGCTGCAGTTGACATCATAGTGCAGCTTGCCACATTGTGTTTTGTTGTTGTTTTTTTTTAATTCTTTGTGTTGTGTTTTCTCCGTTTTTTTTTTTTATCAAGTCACTGGGGTTGCATATGCGCTCGCTCGAATGGATAATGACAACATAAATGTCAACTGCATGTTGACTTACAACTATATTGTTGGATATATGCATGTGTGCGTGTGTATATGTGTTAGCAGGTGGCTTTACTAATAGCGCCATATCAGGTGAACTCGCCCCAAAAGCGCGTAAACGCTTTTGTGCAGCTTTAATGTTAGGAAATAATTTTGTAATATTATGTGCCACAAAGGACTTTGATAAAGTTGATGTAATTGCATGTTGGCGTAAGTATGGGGCCATAAAAATATATACCATATGTACAAAACATATATACTAATTTATATATCTATCTCTTTTTCAGGGGTTGAGTTTTACCGTTATAGCGAGCGTATGCCAAAATATTTCAAGCCCTTGGTTACCAGATTTTGATTAAGAGAACCCTCAAAGATCCAGCTGTTGGCACTATTTAAAGCGGATGAAAAGAAAAAAATTGACTTAGATATATCAGCATCTAAAAATATATTAGCAGAACTTTTTTTATTTAGAAACACGTATAGGATCTTACAGCAAGACTGTCGACGTTTTTTGTGCCAGCTGTATAATTGCGAGAGCGATCTTGACCACCGAAATGGTTATCCTTATATTAAAAAGAAGAAAAAACGTTGAATTCGGCTACATCGAAGCATAAAGTTGTATACACATTTTTTTTCTTGAGTAGGATTGGCCAGTTTAAATAGTAGCTATAATCGTATGCTATACTGGTTCGATATCGGTGGTTACAACAAATGAGCAGCTTCTTGGTGAGAAAAGGGTAAAATTTCAGGTCGATATCTTAAAAATTAAGAAACTAGTTCGCGTATATACTGACTTCACTTGTGTAAAGACCTCTGAAATTGTTTTGTTCTACCCTGAACAGGCTATATTAAGTTAGTCACGAAGTTTGTAACATCCATAAGGAAACGTCAGAGACCCTTGAAATATATATCTAAATGATCAGCATAATGAGCAGAGTCGATTTAGCCATGTCCGTCTGTCTGTATATACGCGAACTAGTCTTTCAGCCGATATCGCCTTTGTATTTGTGAAGGGTATTATAGCTTCGGTGCAAGCGGAGTTGACGTTTTTCCTGTTTGTTTGTTTTTTTTTTTGTTTGCAAATTGAACAAAAACCCCTTAGACCCTCAACTGTAATCAAATTAATATCCATGCCACAAACTTTTTACTCAACTGTAATTTCCAGTTGCAGCTAAATTACAAAATTATAACGGACTATTTAGTTGCAAAGAGAAACCACATTACTACTTTCAAATTAAAAGGAAGAAACGTTCGCAAAAGCTAATGGACCTCGCATTAAACAACATTTGCATACATTCATACACATACATAAACACGACACATATATATATATATATAAGTACATTAAGCCAAGCACACAAATAAAGTTATTTACAAAAGCGTAAAATAGTCCACAGTTGCTGCACAATAGGTGTCATTGCTGCATGTTGCACATACCTAAACCTCCGTACACACTTGCAACTTTGAGAGTTAGTCTTTATGTTGCAACTTTGTTGTGTCAATGCGTATCAATGTTAATGGTTTAAGTGTTCAAAATGTTTTCAATGTGAGTACAGTTTGCTGTTGTTGCCACGTTACTGACTGCCAGTTGGTTGTTGCAACTTAGTCAACTCTGTTTGCAAAGTGTCACAAATCGATGTCATTAGAGTGTAACTGTAATTAAATTTCAAAGCTATTCTATGAAAGAAATGAAAGGCGATTGCAAGAGAAAGACTTCAAGTGCGAATATGCAAATGGCGGTAGGAGGCGCACTGAAGTGCAACATGTCTATTCTGGAAACTAGTGGAGGACAGCGAACTACATATTATATACTGTTTTTCATTGTACATTTGAGTTGCAAGATAAAAGTTGCACTTAGAAATTTTTCCATTGTCGACGAGCATTCATTTATGTTAATTCACGCTGAACTCTCACAAACTTGAATAATTTAGGATTGAACCGAGGGAGGACTGTGCACGAAATGTCGTAAAAATATTCATAATTGGATGTTTGAATGTTGCCAAACAAGCCAAAATTAGGTTATTGAGGAATAAATTATTCCAAAATTATTTCTGACTGGCTTAACTCCTTAAGACTTGTGCTAGCCGCAAAGGAGATCGAATTAACAATTACCTCTGGAAAAAATTTATAATATTGGAAGCTTTATCGTCAGAGCAGGAGATTTTACGTATCGACGTGCATTTCTCTTCTCTTTTCTTGCCGCAGGCAGTATAATTATATAAAGAAGAAGAAGTAGATACTGGAAATCAAGGCTTATACACTGGTCTTCTACTCAAAAAAATTAATTTGCTCGAGAAAAGCCTTCTTTAAAGCGGAGGTATAATGGAAAAATGATTATGGTTTTAAAAATAAGGGAAAGTTAATTTTATTATTTCTGGAGTATGTTATTAGATTTCAGTTATCTAATCCCTCTTTGCGTAGTAAGACAGACGTTTCTCATCTAATTGCAATCGCAATTTCATCTAACAGGAGCCCCAGGAAATGTGCTATTTCGACGGGGTCTGACCATAGAGAACATATTCTTAAATGAGTTCGTTTCATAGGGAATACAAAGAGATGGTTAGAACCATGAGGGGTCTTATTGCATGCAGATATGGATTTGTATGTCGGAATTGATATTGGGAAACTAGGAGTTCAATCTGCTGCAGTATCCAGAAAGAAATTGTACATGGGTTTCTCCAGATTCGGAAGGCAGATCGAGCTCTTTTTCTGCTATGGGTGGTGGTTTGACTGCAAGGATGTTCGATGGGCGAAATCAATGGGCACCCTATTATTGCACAGAGTGCAGTATTCAGATAAGTCTGAAGTTTCTTTGTCTGCTACATCCAAACGGCCATACCGGTGCTACATAGTCTACTACCGGATGGCCAATGTCCTTGTAATTTGCAACAGCGTTTCTCTGTCGTTTTCTCAGATGATGCCGGCTGGCGACTTGAGTATTTTGTTGCGGCTCTGTAATTCGGCAATAATCGTGTTCGTATGGGGAGTGAAAGAGTACAAGCTGTCGAGTCGAACATCTAAAGTTTTATGGTTGTTAACAGACGGATTTTTAATGTCATCGACTGCAATATCCAGTTTGTATTCTCTCGTCCATGTTCATGAAGGCTACTTGCAGAAAATCAGCGGTGAAGATGGGTGCGATAGTCGTTTACTTGCAACCGCGTGTCACTTTTGTGAAGTTTAATAGAGACTTGATATCTATTGTAAATCAGATATTTCATCAAGTTCTTTGAACTCCAAAGCTCCTAGATATCTAAGCCGAGTTCTAGATAAGGCCGGACAGAAGCAGATGAGGTGTTCTAGTGTCTCTTTCATTCCTAATTGCCTGCACACTTTCTCTATCAGATAAAGCATAAGGGTATGTAGTTTATAATACGCTAGTTATACAGAGAGCAGCAAGCCGTTGTATTCGTTCCAACGGTTTTCTGTATGAGATATTGCTGGCAGCGGTCCACCACACCAAAGCACCTTAAAGCCAGATTGTCGTGACAAGCGCTGTGTAACACCAATGTACGAGGACAGGCGATAGGCCTAATGTTGACCATATTTTTATCCTGATTTGGTGATATTTTGTCAAACTGAACAAATTTTTCTATTCAAGGACTTGATTCGATTTGTTTGTAGGGCAGCTATATCTTGTAGTGGTTCCGATAAATGAGTCGTCTCTTGAAGAGACATTTCAGATTGATATCTCAAATATTGAGGGACTAGTATATACAGACAGATGTACAGACAGACAGACGGACATCTGAAAATTGATTCTACTCGTCACGCTTATCATTTATATATAAACATTATGGGATCTCCGGCGTGTTACTAACGACATGGCAAACTTAATATTCCCTGTTCAGGGAAGCAAGGGTACTATAAAACCAATAAATTCACATAGTACCGTTCAGCCGAATGAGACTATCGCAATTGCTGACTTTTGATTTGGGGTAGAATGAGTTTTGGGAACCATACCGTTTCAACGAAATATTAAAAAAAAATAAAATAAAATCAAGTAAATTGCTGATGGATTGTTTTATACTGGATTGTGTATTCCGAAAATTCCAACCACTTTTTATCACAAAAAACATTTAAAATTATATTATATAATTTTTTAACTAATTCTCGAGAATACTTCAATTATATTCCATATTTTTGCCAAATGCTATCTGAAATTTTACTACTATACATATTTTCCAGTGGAGTATATTCTGCAAAGTTTAATATTCAATTATTTCATATACTCTTTGACCACTTTTACACCGAAATGCGCTACTCACCTCTATCCTGTGCCGTTAGCAAGGACGATGACAGTGTCTGTTTCAACTTTCCGAAAGTTCCACCAGCGTCGGGTTGATTCTGTGTGGATGGCGTCTCATCTGTGGCGACCATCTGCGTGAAACGAAAAGAGCGAAGCAAAACGGAAATGAGTAAGTGCATGAAACGGCAAATAAATGTAAAAATCGCAATTTTTTCGCTTTTAAAATTGCAAGTAATTGAAAAATGTGATGAAATATGCAGCAAACTGCGAGTGATGTGACGGTGATGGTGTAGATATGTATATATGAATATATAGATAGCCTAACTTATACATACATATACTATTTTCAATGTATATTTGTTGTTTTTGCACACTTTGGCACACCACACATATTTGTTGCGCCGCCACAGGTGCATCATTTTAATTAAATTCCTGCAAAGTATCCGCCACACCGCTCAGGTGGCCATAAAAATGCTATAAACTCGAAGTGGAATTTTTGCTGCCAATCAAAGTGCGAGCGCAAATATCAAGCGAGTAAATGCTTTATGAGTGATGCCACCTTACACACACACACCGAGCGCAGAAGTGGCAGAGTGTTGTGTATCCCTTTATTGTTTTACATATTTACATTGTATTGGTCGTGTTTCCGTTAACTGTTTTTTTTTCTTTTCTTTTTTTGTTTTTTCTTTTTATTTTTGTTATTTCTTTATATTAATGCTTTGTTGTTCGATTTTTTGTTGCTTTCCGCTTTAGTAGCCATTTGCTTGATTTTTATTTTTCTCCCCTTCACTTAGCAATCGCAAATACACCGACGCCAAATTAACTCTGCACACACCAACACCCAAACAACCAATTTTATATGTATGTATGTGTATAAATGAAAGAAACAGCATACATTCTCATGTGTGCCCGCTAAACTTGCCATAAACACGCCAACACCACCAACAACAACGTCCTTACAAAGAGAGGGAAAATTTAAACACCAATAAATAGCACTCAAACGAGCAAACCTTTAACTGCACACATACATATGTACAACCTCATGCACATAGGTATACATTTGCGAAAAACCAATTGCGTGGGTAGCGACCTCTTCCGTTACCGTTATCCATTAAAGTACAAATACTCTGTGGATAGATAATAGGATATTTTATGGCTGCTAAAGGACAACTTTTATGATGCAATAATTTGGGTTGAAAAATTGAAAAAAAAGGCAAAATTAAATAAATAAAAATAAAAAGTACGGAAATGTTGTGCACATTTGTGTGAAAATCATTGGCTAACGGTAAAAAAGGAAATACGTATATTTGGTGTGTGTGTGTGTGTGGGTGTATACAAGAATGTGTGCCTGCGCTAATAGAAAGCAAATGAACATATATCTGTGCATCTATAAAAATCTGGTACGCTCTTAGATTGTCTATAAATAGCACAAGAAAGGGGCTTTATTATGGCAAGTGTAGTGATGCATGGGCGCATTACCTCACTTTTGACCTCTTTTTAGCGCGCTACAGTGATTAGAATTGATTATGTTGTAGGGTCGAGATTGTGGAAAAGGTGTGCAGATATGTTAAAATGGCAAGAAAGGTGTTGGAACATTTAATAGAAAAAACTTTCCTTTTGCAGAAATTCGGAGCGATGTGACGTAACACTTATCCATATCTTTTCAAATGTTTCGGCATTCAAGTATCCATTGTTAAATTCTAGGCATATTTACTTTCAATATTTACACATTTACATTCTTAGGGGATAACTAAACATTTTAGTTCTGCTTAAGTTTCACTCATTTGAAATTGATTTTAGCTGCCTTACTTGCATTATTTCCCATAGAACCATCAAAAAAAAAAGTTGAGTGAACTCAACAGAATGTTTGAAAATCAGGATATTATTCAAAAAGCGCAAGTTTCAACCTATATTATTCATTTTATGCATATACATATATGCACCGTTAGCAGAAAATACTTTCACTATATTAAGATAAGTCACACATTGGCCGTTATATGGGGTATTAAGTCAGCCAGAAGTTCAAAAATTTTCAATTAGGTATATGGTGGCTAAAAAAAATATTGACCCGATTTAACCCAAATTTGGATATGCAGACATACTGTTATCAGGAAAGGATTCTCTTCCAATTTCAATTATGTATTTTAAACATTGACTGGTATTTTTGGTAAAAAGTCAGTTATAGGATCTGGGGTGCATATATCCGGTATTTAGGGACTTGAATAGTTATGGTCCGATTTAGACAACTTTTAGACCTGAGTTAGCATATCTTAAAGGCACTATTTGTACAAAGTTTTATTCCATTATATTAATTGGTGCTTGATTTTTAAACTGGAAAGGGAAAAAATCAGTTGGAACTTAAGTTGTGTTTTTTAGGATGTAGGCGTGGTTGCAGTCCGATTTCACCCATTTTTGCACTACCATGTCAAAATAATACTACAAGTATGTACCAAATTTTGTTGAAATTGTTCTAATAGGTCAGGAAGAAATGCTGCTATCCTAGTGCTATAAAACCCTTTTGTGGCTTCCAAGGTGTAAAATTTAATGTATCTGGGGCCTTTAGTTATTAAATGGTCGCACTTGTGGGCGTGGTAATATCTATCTTGATTAGTTTTAGGTGATACAAACAACCGTTAGATGAACAAAACTATTACAATTTGTCGCAACATGTTGCAAGCGTATAATAGAACCGGAATTTCAAAGAGAAAATCTACATATTCTGCATGCTGTTCTAGTTAATATTAAATTACCAAAGCAAACCTTACATAAAAGTGTCTACTTTGACAGCTGCTTACACTGCTATCCCTCTGGCAAATTGTGGAAACTGAAAAAACACCCTTTATTCGCATAAAATATGAAAATGTTATTGCATTATAAAAGTTTATAGCAATAATCGTTTAGGAAGATCAAAGTGGTTAAAATTATATCTTCATAAAATTATTAGTTATCAAGAAAACCACTTAGCAAGTCTGCAGTTATTTGAATATTAAATGAATACTAAATAAACCATAAATCTGAAATATTACACCAAAAGATGTGAATGCATTTTGCTGCCAAAGACTTACGGAAAGGTACATATACTTCTTGCTTTTCACCCGTTTTCCATCCTACATAATAAAAGCAAAGCCTTTACTTACGGAACTCAGCTCATTATTAAAAACCACACAGGCTCTCCCCCGTGGCGTATACGTAATGCTCTCCTATGCGATAGAGCTTGAATATGCCAACTTATTTACATACGCTCGTGGTTGAAGCTGTTGTAGGTTCAGTTCGAAGCTTTTTTAAGAACAGTTTTTTTCCAATATTGAGCGTACGTATAGGTAACGTAGGTACAGAAGGGTGCATTAAAGATTGTTGCTGGCATATAAAATGTCGACAAAATTTGGTTGAAAATGCCATTTTACTTTCGGCTGCTTCTCTTGAGCTTACTTCGAAATTTACCTTCTTAATCCACTCAACACCTTTGCATATTTAACGCGAAAATTTGACAGTGTTTACTTTGTTGCAAACTTTTTCTTGTTGGTGTTGAATATTTACTTATGCGCGTTGGCTCGAGGTATAGAATAAAGAGTTAGAAAATGTATGTAAATACCCACTTACTAATATTCAAGTATGTATGTTGGTATTAGCTATGCGGCGTGAAGTTTAACATAACAAATTTTAGAGTGCAGGTATAAATGTTGCTATGAAAATTTGTATATATTCTACAAGTATATTATCGTTCAGATAATAAATAAATATGTCATAAAGTAGCAGTGCTGCAATATAGTTAAAAGTTACACACTGATACGGATATGTGTTTTATATCAAATTTCAAAAACAGCTGAGAAAGCTGATAACTTCTTTACAATGTAGACATAGACGACTTATTTGCTTGAAATTTTGTGTTTCCAATGGTATTACGGTGACGGAGTTGTTGATAATGTTGCAGAAGTCGAAAAAGTTAAAGAAGCAGTACCTCAGAATCGTCCTGTTGGCATTAAAGAGATAGCGGAGGATCTCGATATTTCTGAAGAATCAACTTAACAGATTGTGGTTAATGTTTTAGATAAGAATCGTGTCAATCCTAGACTTCTACTAAAAGACCTTAATATTTTGCAATAACGGCGACGATAGAGGTCGCTAAAGGTGGTAATGTGACATGGATTTATGAATATAACGTCGAAACTGTTTTTAACAAAAATTTAGCGAATGGCGCTCTAGAAATGGATCGAAACCGAAAAACCAAAATTCACAGAAGGCACTGAAGGCCATCCTAGACGAGGCTTATAACAAGTGTATGGAAAATTGACATGCTTGTATCAATCTCAGGAGCCTATAATAAAAATTTGTATTAGAATATGTAAAAATATACATTTTTTTGTGCTGCAAGTCCACAGTAATTCGATTTTGATAATAAGTAGCCGTTTATTCCATGTTATATCGACCTGTCCTTAGTAGCTTAGTAGTCTCTAAAGTGTGGAGAAAGTCAATATTTGATCTAAATCTTTTTTAGTTTGTTTCAGCATTCGCGGAGATGATAGTATATGATAGCATAGATAATATAAAATCAATAATACACCTAACTTTCGCCTAACTCCAATATATCAGATATAGTGATTTCCATTCATCTTAACTTTCCTGACCGTTTATGTTGGTCAAAATGTGTGATATTCTAATACAAATAATTGGATGTCTTACCTATAATGTGGTTTAGCGCTAGATATGAACAAAATAAGTCTAAATATAGCAAAATATAAACTACATTGTTCTCACATCTTACTTTAATTCATGATTAATTCTTGATTGAAACTACATTGTTAAATTCCATGCAGCTCGTCAGAAATACTCTTTTGTAGTACTCGCTTGAAAGTGCCTCATTGTGAGGTTCTGAAAACTGATTTCATGATAAGTTGCTTAGAATAAAGTATTGGGTTTCTTATGAATTATTTTTTGGTCATATTTTTACTATATTCTAAAAAGTTTCATTCGATTAAGATTTTTTAACCAGCTTGGTATCATAATATTATCCTAACATCTTATTAGTTTAGCTACAGCTTTGTTATTTCTTAACGACTTCATTGTTCTAAACATGGTAAATGAGTTATACAGTTTAGCTGCTTTTCAATAAAATTTTCATATCGTCGTATTTGTATATTATTTTCAATTGTTTAATAGAAAAACAAAACAATTTTTCCCACAGCAGAAACCATTTCGTCAAACTTGCCTGCAACATTAGTGATGTTTGTCCACGCAGTGACCGCCAATTCATTTTCCCAAATTCACAAATTTATTTTTCATTACACTTGAACACCCCGTAACGCAATTATTACTTGACAACTGTGACTGTAATGTATTTGCTGATGAGGTACGCGTGTTTTGTGTATGTTTCTGTGTTTCTATTAAACAAGGCTGGGTCGTGTTGTGTTAATGCGTGACATTAATCGTGGAAATTACGCGTGTTTGCTTGTAAACATGTGTGCTTTAGCGTCAACGCGAATCATCAATACTCATTTACTTCATCTATATATTATCATATGTATTTACTCGTATATATTTAAGTGTGAGTAATTAGCGCTACACCGAGTTCCAACTTGTACACTACTATAATTATACACTTTTAATATTAAAAAATTATTAACGGAAATTATCTTCGTGCCCGAGGTACTTACAAGTCTGTTTCCTCATGTAATCAACAACTAATTAACTGAAATGATATATATAATATGTGATATGAACTCAAGCCAAAAGACGAAATTCAAAGTAATTTGAAAAATAACTGAACGTAAGCATAAGACACTATGTTAGGTGTTGGGTTTAGACCGATTTCATCATTCGTTTGCCGTATTTATTCAGTAAGTTTTTGCAGTTTTAGTAGTTTTGAACAGAAACATTATATGGGTAGTGGGCGTGGTTGTCATCCAATTTCCACGATTATCACATTGTTGGGGGAAGTGCCATGTGCTGAACAAATTTGATTGAGATGGCTTTAGAGGTTTCTGAGATTTTTTTTGCATTCAACTTACTTAGCGGGCGGGCCAAGCTTACATTCAAACAATTCTGAAACCGCGATTGCCCTTACTACTTCACTGTACCAAATTACAGTTTAGCATGAGTGTATGTTAGGGTGGGGCCAAAAAAATCTTTAAAACTGAGTGGGCCACCTCTAGATGTTAAACATTTTTTTTCTAAAAATTTTCTTATTTTATAATCTACAAATTTTACCCTCAGGGTAAGCAAAAAATAATAATTTTTTTTTCGCTCCACCCTAGTGTATATCTTGTGAAGTGGAAATCCAGTTTTGTGCTACACACACATATGCACAAAGATAAAGAATGAATGTAGAATGTAAATGGGAATTTTCGCATGCAAATTCGCTTCATTTCTGCTTGTTTTGTTGCGTGCGTGTGCTTTTCTCAATGCAAAGTGACGGTTGGAAGTGAGTAATGTAAACGTATGTCTGCGTACCTCAAGCCACATGTTGTGCATTTAAATTACATGCATATACATTTTATTTACTTTTTCACTTTTTTGCAACTTTACAAAAACCAGAAAAATTTAATTTCTGTACAATTTGGTAAAAAACAGCTTCACAGCAACTTTGTGGCATGTACGGAATGGCTTAAGCTGCATGTGCAGTTTATTGTTTAATACAAGTAGCTTTCAATTAGCATGAGCTTTATTAGCGACATGCCAGTGAATTTGTTGGCTAACATAAAAACTAACTATTGCTCTTGATTAAGCTAAAATTGGTTTAATTGAAATTCTCAACAATTTGAAATTTATTCACAAATAAGAAAAAAGTTAACTTCGGCGGCATATAATACACTTCACAAATACAAAATGTTCCTAACAAGAACTTGATTTTGAACGTTCAGTTTGTATGTCAGCTATATGCTTTAGTTATCCGATCTGAATAATTTCTTCGAGGATTGCGCCATTGCCTTGGACATTAATCCATGCAAAATTTCGTGAAGATATATACTTGTATGGTCAAACGAAAAACTTTCTATACAAGCACTTTATTTCGACCGTTTATTTGGTATGGGAGCTATATGGAATGCAATGGATATGAAGGACTAATTCACGTATATACAGGCAGACGGACATGGCTAAAGCAACTCAGCTTGTCATGCTGATCATTTAGATATATATTTTAATACATAATCAGAGTATAAAAAAATCCTAAATCGATGAGCAACAAAACCGTGGCGTAGAAGTCAGTTGAACCTTAAATTAATAAAGAGATGTTTGGACGAACCGGCACAAAGGACCATTGAAGTCGATGTTATACGCTTTTTCACTCATCCAACGAGATTGAAGCATCTTGAATGCACGAGACACACTTACTTTAGCAAAGTCCATAGAAAATATAGTTTTTTATACTTAAATGGTTCCTACTATATCCCACATAAGCAGTGAACTGTAAATTTTCGGTAAAACTTTCAAAAATCTATTTTCCATTAAAAAGTTCAACGCATAGTTTTACCAATTTCGTTGCTTTTGGCAAAATCTTATTTTTGTTTTAACTTTGACAGCAACATATTAACTTCAACAATGCTTTCATATTTGTTTGAGAAATTACTGAAGAATTCTCCTTGGACTCCATTTATCTGCTGCTTGTTGCATGCACATGCGGCTGCTTTGTAAAGTCAATTCCATTTATATTTCAACTGTCGAAAACTCACAGCAACCAAATTACTCTCGGTTCTACAGTTCCCTTGGAAATAAACCAAGTATGTGTAAGTATGTGAATTTGCAAGTGTGTGTGTGTTTGTGTGCTGTTGCGCCCATTGGTATTTTTCTTTGCAAACTTTATCTATTTCGAATCGCTGGCGCACATGCGAAGGACTTCATCGGCCGTGCACTAAATAATTTCGCCGTTTGATCGAATTTTTATTGCCAAAGTTCATTGTTTTATTGTTTTTGTTGTTTGTTTTTGCTGTTCAACATGTAAAATTCGCCACAACATGGTTGTCTTATGTTTATCGATGTTTTGTTTTCACTGCTTTCTTTGCGTCGCTTTTGACATTCAAATTTATGCAGCATTGACAATATTGCCAAAGTTTCTAGCCCACGCACACATACACACATCTACACACAAATAAATATCGTCATCAATTATTCGACATCTTGGTGGGCTCTTCAGCGTTTGTGTCTCTCAATAAGAATTTCAATGACATTTTTATGCGCTAAAAACCGACAGATAGTGCTGAGCAGAAGCGCCGGGGCGTATGAGTAACTTTCTTATACCATATGTACGCAGTGGTGCGGCAAACTCTTAGTGAAGTTTTTGTTTTAAAAAGTTATCGCTTTTTCACGGGCATCTCAGGTGCAGTCCTTAAAGTTTTGATATGCCTTTAGTGACAAATTTTGTAGCTTGAGTTATTTAAATATTCATCGGATATGTAATATCGACAACCACAACTACATACGAGTACATTCTTAAATACAAATATGGTGCAATGTTATTGAATAGAATTTTTGAAAATGACCCCTTTAATGGCCGAAGAGTTAGGTTTAAGATATAAACAAAATCTATTACGGTATATATAATATTATAAGAAGATCGTTATATGGGAGCTGTAGGTGAAAATATGAACCGACAAAAATCCTTCCTCATATTCGGCGAAAAGTTATGGACCAATTGTGATCATTTTGATTCAGAATTGACACGTGTCCGAACAATATTTTTGCAAAGTTTTATTAGCAGAAGTATTTCCATTCGTTTACCAAAATATATTAATGCCTGATGATGCAGAATCCAAGTTTTATTACCAGATCTTTGTTAATACCTAATATTTCTATGAAAATCTTCTCTATACAAATAAAAGACTGTACCTAAGAACAAGGACTGTCAACACAGCAGCATGCCTCGAAACGATTTACCATTAACTCAACAACTATTAGCGTAGCATGTGTCCAACTAGGTAGCGCAGTGCTACTGAATTTTCTGTTAGATTAAATGGAATTGATCTGGTTTAATTACATAATTTTTATCTTGAGTCTTCTTATTTTATTGACTTGCAGTGGCGTTGCCACCAGTTCGAAAGTTTCCATTTCATAAAATTGCAAGGGATAAACGATTTTAAATTTTTACTAAAAAATAATGTTTAAAAAATTTATGTGGAGTGTTGCCACCTGTTTAAAATTTAAGTTAATACAATTTAAAATATAAAGAAACGTAAAACACTGAATATAACTAATTTAATTTAATTTCAAAAGAGATATGGTTAGCAAAAATGATATCTAAAAATATTTTGCGATGAATGTTACCACCTGTTTCAAAATTTCAAATTGAATTAGTAGTTTTAAGATAAGGAGACGCAATATAATGAAGACATATAAGAAAATTTTAAGTAGCGTTGCCACTTGTTAAAACATTTCCTTTTATTAAAAATTTTAAAAATAATAGAATAATAAGGAAATTTCAAAAAATTTCAAAAACTGATAAATATTTATTTTTGAGTGGGGCTGCCACATGTTTAGCAATATATTTATATTCAAAGAGTTTGGTAAATGGGTTGAATTATTGCAAAATTAGTTAATTGATTTGTAAAAGCTTATATTTAAAACTATTTTTAAGCAGGGTTGCCAGCTTGTTTCAATCTATGAAAAAATTAATATATACCGATATTAACATCAGCCTCCATGATTTATGAAAGATTCCTGTCGCTGATATTTTTGAGAAAGGTTGCCACCCTTTCAAAAAAAAATTTTTGCTAATAAAAAATTTACAAATAAAATTCAGTTTTACACTTTTGGCACTACTTTAAAGGCATTTGAAGAATATTTGCTGTAAATAAAAATATTTTCCTAAGCACATGCAATATTTTTTCGTGCTTAATTTTGTGACTTTTTTTTGCCTACCTTTTCTCTATAATATAGCAACAATAATAAAATATAATAAATAAAATTTTCCGAAAGCGTCAAATATGTTAATATAAATTTGCTTTTATTCGCTTCTTGTTATGAAAAAATGCCATAAGTAGAAACTCACCTTTTTCATGAACGTCATTACATTGGTGGGCAGCATCTTGATTTTTTTTCTTTCTCACTTCGGTCGAGTGCAGATAAGTTTTTTTAACACGTTGGCGGCCAAAAATTCCAGTTTATTTCTTTATTTCGTTTAGCCGTCAGCCAATTTATTGTTACGTTTGATAACTTGAAGTCTTTTTTCCATTATTTATGCCACACTTCGCTCCATTTTTATGCGCACGAATGCACAAATTTTTAATTAATTTAATGGCAATGCAAAGGGTTTGCTTTGGGTGCGGGGGTGGATATATATGTGTGTGTGTACAGTATGATAACTGAGTTTTGAAAATTTAACTTATTTGACTATATTTTCCTCGCTTTGGCTTCAAATACACTGCGCGAAATGAGGTCACTCAGCTTCAATGTGGCAAGCTGCGTGCTGAACGTTGCAAGTTTAATGGCTGGTGTTTACATAAATGCAACAAAAGCAACATTGATGTGCGCAACACGTTGCATGATGAGCGCGTCCTATTTTTGGTAGCAACAGTGTAGGCGTATCAGGTAACGGTAGTCAATGCTGATATTCGATGCGTTGTGTTGAAAAAATATTTATATTTTTATTTTTATTTTTTGACTTCTTTCACAGCAACAAAATTTTTATTTTTTTAAGCTTTGAAATTGTAGTAGCCACCTTTTTCAATGCTCTCCTGTATTTTACAGTTAAATAATTGAGTTGCACGTAGCGCCCAAAAAAACCGTAATAACGGTGGTTGGTGCCGTATTCCGGTCTATAGCCAGCAGCTGACTAGCTATTGTACTTGTTGTTGTTGCTGTTGTTTTTGCTGTCGTGTGCTGCTTTGTATGCGCTCGGTTCGTACACTGCCGTGTAATTTCCTTGGTTTCATCGGTTAAAAGCGTAGCGCACTAACACATGCATGCAACACGCATTTACTGTTGCGCGTCATTATTTTCTTTACGGTTATTATCGTTGGCGGAGCGAGTTTTATTTGCGTTTTCACTGTTTGTTGCTTTATTTTCGTTCTGCCTTCAACCGAAATTTACATTTGCTGCTTTTTGTTATTTGTATAGCATACTTTCCGGCGTTCGCGTGCCGTTTGAACAACGCGCCACAGAGTTTTTGTTGCAGTACAGCTGTCTGCTTAAGCGTACGACTGGTTGGCTCAATGCATTCGTTTACTTAACTACCTCGCTTCCTTGCTGTCTTCCGCTTGCTTTCTTCGCTGTTTTTATTGCACTTTTTGTTTTTGTTTTCTTTTACAAGTATTTTTCAGTTGCAGCTTGACTCGCTGCCGTCTCGTGACATTGTTGATGTATGCTTTCTGTCCATTTGCATTTGTATGCAGTCAGCATTTTTCTAAAATTATGTGTAACGGTGAATTAAAAGTTATCAAATAAAATTTGCGGACCAACGAGGTTTTACTTGAAGTTGAAGTTGTTTACATTTTATTGTATAATTTAATAATTTTTTTTTATTCCTTAAGTCGCACCAGAATGCTGGAAAAAAGAAAGAAAATAATATTTATGAGATTTATAGGAAATTTTGAATAGTTATATTTAAAAATAATGTCCGAAGTATTTTGGATACTAGTAGACGAGTAGAAAGGCTGACAGTTTGACTCAAAATCTACTGGAAATACTACAATAATGTAAGTGAAAGAGCCGAAGTCAATATTTAAGTCAATGACAATTTCATTTTCATTTACACGCTTATATTTTGCATGTGTGAGAGCATTGAAGCTACAGACTTCTTCGAGCCATGGCGTATACGTAACTTGATTTCATCGTAACAACAAACGCATACAAATATATAAGCATATGTAAGTAAGAGTGCTTCGTGTCAATAATTATGAAAAAGGATCTGCTAACGACTGCAATTATTCTCATAAAATTCTGTTGGAAACTTTGTAGAAATACAAATGAAATAAAAATAAAGTTACGGTCTCTCATTGAAGTGTAACGTGTCTTCGCCTTGTCAGTATGATAAATTCGAATTTAATGCACACAGTACTTGCTTTATGAACATGAAAATTTCTTATGATTTCAGCCAATTAACCGCAGATAAGTAATACATCACTATCACGCATATAAAAAGAGATGCTGACGGAATCTATATAACATTAGGTAGAAAAAAAATTTGCTTGCGGCTTTAATATGACAGTAGTTTAATCCGAAATCTTAAGCTTCAAAACTAACTATGAATGCCAAGACATTTTATAAGTTAACTTAATGGCACAATTCATCCAAAAATTTGATTTGATTGAAAACATAAAAAACCCAGTACAAAATCTTCTATAAAAAGTCGTAAGAGGTTTTCAAAATTCAGTAAAGTAATGGCAGAATAAATCACTATGCTGGTTTTTGCAGTTAAGTGTAATCTTTGCTGAATTAAAAAATTCATCACCTGACAAAATTCTCAAAAGGGCAAAGCCCAACTGCAGATCTTCGAAAGAAAAATTTAAAGAAAAATTTTTGAAGCAGTCAAAGACAATGACGAGTGGCGATGAGGTGGAACAACGAGCTACACCAACTTAAGAAAGGCAAAAACATTATACGTTTCATAAAAGTGCAGCGATTAAGATGACTTGATCATGTGAAAAAACTGAACACTAAGTAGACGCAGAAGAAAATTCATGAAACAAACACGTCCAACACTAATGAGCATGGAAGACCAAGATCAAGGTGGATCGTCGAATTGGTAGAATATATCAAAAATGTTGGTATAAAAAATTGAAGAAAAATCGCAAATGATCGAGACGGCTGGAGGTCAGCTCACACAGAACTGTAGCACCAAAAGATGATGATCACTCATCTGATAATCCAAGGCTTTTTCGCACCAAACTAAGTTTCTAAATAATCGATTATTTAAATAAAAAATTATGGTTTTCGTATACATATTAAATTGCTACTATCTAGTTAAGTAGAGAGAATATCTGATGGCTTTCTTGAATTGCTGTAATCTCCGCTTGGAAGACACTGCAGTGATCTGATATATAATTTTGCTGAAAAGGCACTGTATTTCTTCTCTGGAAAAGAATTCAATATTTGACGATCGAATTTAAGTTTTATTCTATAGTATTTCGAAAATGTGTGTTATTGGATAAAAACGGAAACTTGTTTAGTATCTTAGAAAGTCCCTTATTACGGACGACTAATAGGGAGAATTTCCTCAGTCTAAGAGGTTACTTCGCAGCCAGTTGCTTAACACACATAACCAGTTTGTGAGCGGTAAATGTAAAATAACGTTTAAGGCCTCACTTAGCGTTGTTCTAAGAGCTCCATTGATGCACACGTATACTAGCTGCTCTTTGTATGATTTCCATACGCCTTACTGCGTATTTCTTTTCCATTCTCTCTATTTGCAGCTCTTTAAAAACTCTGAAAAACTTGTGTCATTATTGATTCTGTGTTCCATCTTACAAATTAACTTTGCATTGCAAGTTCAAAACTACTACAAGTCTCTCAAAAAATTCATGGTCAGATTTTATTAAGAAACCAAAATATTTCAACTTCCACTTTAGCTTAACACAACTTGGCAGAGATACAAGTATGTTCACATATCTGCTTCTGCCTTTGATTTGAATAACAAATATTGAATTTTTATTGAGTGCCATTACCATTAGCTTACATGATGACATTTAAATGTATTTATTAGGGTTATCCTTTATTTTTTATTTCATAATATTTATATGACTATAAATCGTAAGTCCCTAATCAGCAACCTGATACAAATTCTTTTAAAATTGTCTAGTAATATTAAATTGGTGAAACATACGATTAAAATTAGAAATTTGATCAAATCGAGCAATTAATCTCATTTTCGTACATACATCGATATCAAGCAGCCAGTGACTTATTCAGACTATCGCATAATGTAAGCATTGACAGTTATGGTCCTAACAGATTCGTCTCACGCTCCTCGGAGCTAATATTCTAGCGTAAAGAATAGCAAAGAACTATAATAATTCAAAGCTTTGTTCTGAATTTTATACCCGAACTATCGAACGATCTAACTCAATTGCTTGTGTGGAAAACTTTTTTATTTGACAAGGTATCTTCAAAAAGTTTCACAGACATTATTATCCAAAATATCACTATAATTTGCGAAGAAATTGTTCAGATCACACAAATACAGCACATAGCTGTCATATAAACTGATCGATCAAAATCAAGAATAAAATATTTTTATACTATTTTTTGCCAGTTGAGGGTATTATAGCTTCAGTGCAGCCGAAGTTAACTTTTGTTTTTTGGTGTTTGTGGGCAATCATCTTCATTGGGATCGCTACAGAATGTTGTTTTATAAAATAATAAGGCATCGTCATAAAATAATGCGATTTTGAGTCGATCCTTTAGGGGAAAACTTGTCATTATGATTCTGAAGCACACTTTCTTTATTATTATTAAATTTTTGTTTTGAGATTTCTCGTTATGTCAGTGGTTGCATCGCACGAGCGAAGTTTTTCTGCGACTTTAGACAGCATTCGGAAACCATTTCGAAAATGCAAACACTTGTGGTTTTCGAAGAAAAAGGCTTCATTCAACTATTTTGCAAATTTGATGCCCCCTAATGCAAAAAAACTGTATTTATTATTATACTCTTTCAATCAGAACGCAGCAGCTAATATATGACAAGCATAAGAATGAGTGAGCATTAAGAGTGCGCAAACTATCTGCTTAACAAGCACATAAACAAATATGCTTATCACAAATCGATTTGCAACACTTATTTGTTCTCCTTGCAACACACGAACACACACTCGCTGGCATGCATGCAAAATTGGCTAAATGGTTAAGTATGAAATGGTATATGTATGTGTGTGTTATTTACATGTGTGTGTATGTGGGCCACAAGTTTTTGTAAGTAAAAAGTTTGAGCGTTTGATATTTTTAGCTGACCATAATCAAATCTAATGCTAACGGTATTTATCGTTGACTCCCTTGCTTTCCACACGAGCATATAATATATAAACTGAACTTTCTTGGAACACGCAAATTTCTACTCTACTATCAGCAGAATATTTGTAATTCGACGCATTCAAGCGGTCACATATCCGTTCAATTGCTTTTTGGGTCAGTTCATGTGGTAATTTCTCCAGAGATGCTAAACCGTCAAGCATATGAATGGACTTGTGAAGCGCTGGTATTTATAGATATAATATATATATGTGTGTGTGTGCTTATTGATATCAAGATGGCTTGTAATCTGCATAAAGATTTGTGTATTGGTACATACACAAACACAGAAGAGGAATGGATATATATGCATGTAAACAAATCGTTATACGCCTCCCAGACATGTGGCTCAGCAACACCCTCGCAATCAACGAAAGGATGCCAGATGTCTGTATATGTGTATATATTATATATAAAAGATATATATATACATTTAAGTGTAGATATATAGCATGTGCTTGGCTCCATCCGGAACCCATCACTTCTATCTCGTTTTGTCCGTCATCTCAAGTGTGAATGCAAAGATTAAAGCGAATCGAATAAATTGAGTGCGTAAGTGAATGAGTGAAACTTAGCAAAGTGTACGTGTGTGTGTGCATGCAAAAAACAAAAAAAAAAAAAATGAAAAAGTTTTAGTTCATACAACTTTTCACAGTTGAACGATTGAAGCATGTGATTGAGCACACACACACACACACTTCCATTAGTTATCTGTCTGCGCGTGTAATCGACAGTTTAGTTGCCGACTTTAAATTGCAACTATGTATTTGCAAACATAAATGCATATGTATATATGTATGTGAAAGCATATGCATTTGGCATTTATATGCATGTTGGTGTGTCTGTGTGTGGGTATTTTTGTAATAGCTTTTGCAAACACTTATTTGTGCCTCCTTGTGCACTTTTGGGCTCTGTTTGCACGCTGCAAATGAATGTAAAATATTTGCTCAAATCAAAGCGTTATACTATTTGCGGCCAAGTGGAGTGGATATAGTTTAGTTTTAGCATATTTCCACATTTTTACAATTCCACTTACATACCGCACACATGCGCACAAGCACACACACATACATCTGCATTTGCTTTGGTTCGTTGGCTGTGACAGTTGCGTATTGCCAAAATGCCTCGGACCAAAGTAAGATATTACAAAGGAATTCAATTAGTCGAAGTGCAAATACTCTCAGCATTACTTAATCGATTTTTAGTCTTAGCTGCAGTTATAGAAATAACAAAAAAAAATTTAAAAGCAATTCTTCGGATTTTTCCCGGGTTTTTGTATCGGATAGATAAAAGCATACATCTTAGTTTGCCTGTGGCAGTTAAAAATGCAAAGAATGTGAGGAGTAAAGGCAGTTAAAACAAGAAAAGCCGTTAACTTCAGCTGCACCGAAGATATAATACTTTCACACATACCAAAGTTTTCCAAATAAGAGCCTGATTTTGTTTACTCAGTCTGCTGTATGCCATAGTAATCCGTTCTGAACAATTTCTTTTAAAAAGTTGGAAAAGAAAAGAACGTGTGATTTCAGATCGATATCTCA